GGACTCAATTTGCACTATTTCTGGCAGTCTGCAACCCCCCAAAGATAACTTTTCTATTTGGATTTAACAATGCCTTTGGTATCTTTAAGCACAGCTACTGTGCTAAAGTAACATTTGGGAGAAAAAATCACATTTGTCAGAAAGTGAATCAGACAGAGTAACCCACAAATCAGTTTTACTTACGTGTTAGGCTTTAAAAGTGGATATAGGGCTGGCTTACAGAACTGCTTTAAGCATAGCACGGTGAGATGTAGGTTGCTGGGTGCTCTGTGAATACTGGCTAAGACAGTGTCTGATTCTCAGAATCTTTCTCACAACTCCTCTGCAACGTGGGTGGAATAGTGTCTTACTGAGTACTACACCGAGAGCAATCTGAACCTTCATTAAATATTCAGCTCTTTCCACTCTTTCCATTGTCAGCCTTCCCCAGACTGATTCCCTCAAGAAATGTATTATTTTGTTTATCAGTTACCTTCATATCCTGCTTTTCTTTCAAGGAGCTCAAGGCTCTGAACATGGCTCTTGTGTTCCCCACTTAACCCTCCAAACAATGCTGTGAGGTTGGTCATGATCAGAGAGAGAATGAGTGGCCTAAGGTCATCCAATGAGTTTTAGACTCAGTGAGAATTTGAATCTGAAACTCTTCAGCCTCTGCACTCTTAAGACTGATATAACTGACTTTCAGAGTGATGGGAGACTACAGTGTATGTCTCCCATTGTTCCTGAGCATTGGTCATGTTGGCTGGGGCTGATGGGAACTATAATATAAAATATCAGGCAAGACCCAGATTGAAGAAGACTAATTTACATAGTAGTTTATGCCTTACAATGCTAAATAGGGTTCTGCTGATAAATCTTTACCTTTTGACTTAAACTCTTTTCATATTAACAACCCCCCCCCCTCCCGATTATTAAGACAGATGCCAAATAATTCTAGTCTTTGGCTAATAGGAGAACCAGTGTGGTGTAGTAGTTTGCACATTGGACTACAACTCTGGAGACCAGGGTTCAAATCCCTGTTCAGCCATGGAAACCCACTGGGTGATCTTGGGCAAATCATACTCTCTCTGCCTCAGAGGGAGACAATGGCAAAACCCCTCTGAACAAATCTTGCCAAGAAGCCTCCAGGATAGGTTTGCCTTAGGGCTGCCTAAGTTTAAAATGACTTGAAGTAACACAACACAACAATGGCTAACAGACAGTCATGAACCTTGGCTCTTCTGTTTTTAAAAATTATGACTGCCAGGTGAAATAAGAGACATGTCTCTTGTCACTTTTTTATTGTGCTGAAGAGGGGATTACAGTAGATATTGCCTGCATGACAAACAGCATGTGCTGAAATTCTGTACAACCATTAAAGGGTCATAATAATGTTGCCAGGTGAACTAAGGGACAGGGCTTCTGTCCTTTACTTCACCTGGGAGCCCTATTGTAAATTAACAGATCTCTGATCCTATTCCCAATTTGCACCAATAAGAAGATCATGACAATGGTTAGAGCCAATTTTTAAAACCAACTAGAGTAGACCTATTGAATTACTGGGAACATGGTAAATCAACTCCATTGAGTCACTGATTCTGCTTCAGCTGGAATTGAATTTAGATTTATGAAACTGCTTCACAGATTTTTGCCAGCGTTTAATAGATGTAGACGCATGAGGGCGCCAAAGGCTTGGGGGAAAATATTGTTGCCTGTGTTTACAGAACTTTTTCATGAAAGTTTTGTCAGAATTCATTCCATACATAAAATGCTCTGGAAAAATATAAGCAGATGACATTTGATAAATGTAAGCTGGAGGACCTAAAGATGGTAGTGCAAGTATTGGTAGCCTCAAGGCTGGCCTCAAGGCCTCAAGTGCTGTACATTGGGCTACTTCTGTACCAAGTTCAGAAACTTCAATTAGTTCAAAACACAGCAGCCAGATTAGTTACTGGAACATCCAAGAGTGATCATATTACACCAATATTAAAATCACTCTATTGGCTGCCAACTAATTTCCAGGCAAGGTACAAAGTGTTGGTTATTACCTTTAAAGCCTTACATGGTTTGGGTCCAGGTTACCTACAGGATTGCCTCCTACCATATAATCTACCCTGTACACTCAGGTCCTTTGGGGGACATTTACTCCAGTCAGCCAGGACTTAGGTTGGCAACTATCAGCCAGAGGACTTTTTCTACAGCTGCTCCTAGACTGTGCAATGACCTGCTGGAAGAGATTCAACAGCTGAATACATTGTTCAAATTTAAAACAGCATGAAATACCAGTCTCTTCTGACAAGCATATCCAGGTGATTTTTAAACTGTGAATTTTTAATGGTGAATTTTAAATGTGGATTGTTTTAATATGTGTATGACTTAAATTAGTGTGCATTTAACTGATGTCAAGTATTTGTTAATTGTTGTTGTTCCCAGTCCTGATCCATGGGAAAAGATGGGTAAGAAATTATAATAATAATAATAATAATAATTTAAAAGCAAATTTTATTTATTTATTTAATTCCTTGAGAGTGGTTGGAACTTAGCTGGACCTTCATGAATGAAAGGACATCTCCCTTGTAAGAAGAGGTCCATACATTCTGGGAAAAGGAACCAATGAATTATTACTAGTGAACCTTCAACAAAATGTTACTGCAGAAAAAAAAGTTCCTGTCATTTCATGCCATTCTCTCTGACTGTCAGTCCATTCCCACAAACTGGAGACACTTCACGCACGTTATGTTTGGCCCTCATTGGATGGTTGAAATTTGTTTGGGGCTGGGAGAGATTGTCCACCTATAGTTGTTTTTTTAAAGTTTTTCTGGAAACCTTGTGTTTCCCTAAACACTTTTTCTGTGCATAAGTGGAGTCAGATGGCTATGTAAAGTCTGGCATTTTAAATGCTAAGAAGATCACTTCTGGTGTATATGATTCAGCATGGTTTTGCTTTCTTGTTAGTGACACATTTCTGGAGATGAATGACACATTGTTGTCTTCTGACTCAAAGGCACAGTCAACCAGGAAAAGCTTGTCTTTCCTTTATGTTTTCCCCTTTTTAAAATAATATGCAAACCTCTGATTCCATTTTGAATCCCTTTTCAAAATGAGGAAAATGCCTTATTCCCACCTTTCTCCTAATTTTCCACCTGTGTACACCAGCAGGTAGCTGTACATATTGTCCCCAGAGCTGGGGAAGATTATTCCTCTGGACTACAAATTGCATAATCCCTCAACCAACATGTCTGGAGGGTTCTGGAATCTGTAAATGTGGTATCATCATCATCATCATCATCATCATCATCATCATCATCAATTTGTCGCCTGTGGTATGGCCTTAAGGTCACCATAAGTTTTGGAAATGACTTAAAGGCAAGCAAGAACAAGAACACATTTTTTCAAGTCTGGGATTCAAGGTAACTTACATAATTAAGTTGAACATAATTAAAAATTCACAGGACATAAAAGTTAAAAAGCAATTAAGCTATCATAAAGTTAAAATCAATTAAAAACAAAAACAAGGAAAAACAACAAAAATAACAAATAGAAATCCAACAAGACCTTTCTCATTTTTTTAAAAAAAATCATTTCTCAAAGTCCTGCCAAAAGAAAAAGATCTTCACCTGCTTACATAAAGATAGTAAGAAGAGTTCTAAGATCTCAAAATATGGGTAGGTACTTATGGTAGAATATATCTGTACATATGTGCCATCAAGTCACCTGTCGATTATGGTGATCCCATGAATTGCATAGGGTCCTCTTAGGCAAGGAATATTCAGAGGTGGCTTTGCCAGTTCCTTCCTCTGAAGTACAGCCTACAGTTCCTGGCATTTGTTGGCAATCTGCCAACCAAGTACTAGCCAGAGCTCTCCCTGCTTAATAATAATAATAATAATAATAATAATAATAATAATAATAATAATAATAATAATAATTTATTTATATCCCGCCCCTTTGAGATCAATTGGGGTGGCTAACAACAATGAAATATAACATACAGCAATAAAATCTAGTTCCCTTACCTTCTAAGATAAGGCAGAATCTGGTGTCTGTGCAGTATTTGCACCACCTCTGGGGAAGAATACCATAGGTATAACCTGACAGTTCAAGCCTGGTAGTTTAAACAAGAATTATCCCATAATGGTAGTGTACACTCACAAAACGATTTCTTTGTGCTTTAAAGTTATTTTTCAGGTTATAGAAATATCTTTCACGTAAAGTACAATCAAACAAGGTGATGTAATGGTTTGAGTGTTGGACTACAACATTGGAAGACCAGGGTTTGAATTCCCACTTGGCAGTGGAAAGCCACCAGATAACCTTGTGCAAGTCACACTCTCACAGACTCAGAGGGAGGAAAATCTTGCCAATACAACCTCATAGTAGGGTCACCATTAAGGTCACTATGTCAGAAATTACATGAAGGCACACAACAACACAGCCAAACACATGAGCAAAATAAAACCAACTTAATATACAATTCACTTTGATAAAAGGAGCAAAATGAAATCAGAATACACAAACACAATACATATCTCCCCATCTTTTCCCCAACATGTGACCCAAAGGAAAGGCAACTCAAGCATAAATTAAAACAAAGTATTGTACTGCTTTTTTAAAAACAAAAAAAA